TGTTTATCAAGAAACCTGGTAACATGAGTTTTTCTGGACTGACTTTTCCATTGTGTCAAAACCTTTTATAAAGGAGTATATACTAAAGATTTTTTTAGGTACTGTTCTGTGATACGTTTGCATATTGTTGTTTTTAAATGTATGTCTAGACTGCAAATAGATCACTGGAATAAAACCACATTTGAAAACATCTGCAGTATAAATATTGCATTGCATGCATGGTGAATAAGAGGGATGAATTCTATACTATATGCCACTCAGGGATGTATGACTCAACAGATTCCTTAGAGGTTTTTTTGTTTAAATAAATATACAACTACAATCTGAAAAAAAAAATGGACCTAATAATGGAGTTCAGTATTTTATAATTATTTTGGTATTATGGGATCTGCATCAGTGAATCATGAGACTAACTGATGCAGGAAGAATTGAAGCATTTCATGTATTCTTCCTGAAATAGAAAATAGAATCTAGATATTTATGTGGATGAAAATTATAACAAAGCTGTGATGGTTTTTATTTCCAAATTGTATTTATTTCAGTACAAACAGTTGGTAATATTCTAAAAGTGCTAGTCGATGTATGTTGCATTTGTGACATCTTGCTCCATGGAGTTTTGAGTCTGTGTATGAAAAGGTACCAGCTGGCACTGGATTGAAGGAAGGGTTGCTCTAGGTTTCTTTTCATATAAAGATTTTGTGCCTTAGGAAGTCTGCAGTGAGATTAGGGCCTACTAATAGAAGTTTATTAAATTAGATTTTAATGTAAACATTTGTGCTTTTTCCTACTGTCTTGGACTGCCTTTCCTTTGGCAGAACAGACTTTGTATGCATATGTGCTAATATGATGTTAATATTTTTAAGTGATTTTTAAAAAATCTTTTGAATGTCAGTATATAGAAAAATGTATTCATTTTTAGTGAATATGTGAAATTATCAACAAGTTATGCCATTCTAACCTTGGCAGTGTGCTGATGCTTTCTCTGGATCCTTGTCTGCCTGCAGAGTCCGCAACTGCTCCTTGCCAATTTCACAGGCTGTCGAGCCAAAGCTGTGATGTATTCCACCCCTTCTGTGCTGTTAGTCTGGAAACCATTCAAAAAATGGTACTTGTACACAGCTGAGGGTTCCCCATGCACAAACCCAAATACCGGACACTGTCCCAGCAAGCTCCAGGATGAGGGATGCTGTCATGACAAAGCTTATGGAGTGCCAGCTCCGTGTAGGGTTTCTCAAAATGCTCCATCCGCAGTTGCGATGCTGGGCTAGAGCAGGGACTAGGCTGGCAGGGAGCAGGGCAAGGCTGGCCTCTGGGTTGGAAGGGGAAAAGGCCTCTCACACCCTTAGTGAGGACGCTGCAAAGTTCCAGCAGGGATAAAGACCCCTTTGCCACAGTCAAATACGACTGCTTGCTGAAACTGAGCTTTTACTAGGTGGGCAGCCAGTGTAGCAGGACAGTTCAGGAACTCTGGACGTCTGCATCTTGTTGAGTTGAGAGATAATGATAAATGATTCGTGCCCATACGTCACTTTGTCTAGACTGCTAATGTAAATTCTCCTTCACTGCAGTAATAGCATGTGAAACTTCCACTAAAAACTGCCATGTAAATCAGAGCGGTTCTCTAATAGGAACAGCTGTCTCCATGCAGGCACTGAAGCCTTACATCATCCACTTCAGGATGCAGAGTGTCACAAGCTATTCAGATAGCTGGTCTCTAGGTCCTGGTCGTCCGAGATCAAATGGTTTCTGTGAGATTTGTTTACAAAGAAATGAAGGACGTTTTACTTGAAGTGCTGAATAGGAAGCCTCTGAAAGAAAAGGCTCACTCTAATTTGGTTTCTCCTTTTTTAACAGGGATGTGTTTATACTGTAGCTGTCACAGAGAACTGAGAGTAGGGAACAGCAGCAAGCTCCTGTTCAGATATGAAAATGAGATGTTCGGTCAGCTTCCCAGAGGGTTGGTTTGTGTCCAGGCAGTGAATTGCAGATTATAGCATGTCTAGCAAGACACTTTTTGAGAAATCTGCCTCTGCTATCCTGTAGGTACAGAATTTATTCCAAGTTTGTGTGGGATGAATGGTACCATTTCTTGTCATTTGAAGGATTTTACATGAAATAATCCATAATATTTAATAGAGTGCTCAGTTCTCAAATGTTAAAATACTTCCATTTGCTAGAGAAGTGCTCCTTGAAGAGCATAACAGCTGAAGGTTAATGTCACCAGCTCTGGAAATAGGGTGCATTCCCATGAATGGTATGACCAAGGAGGCCTTTGTATTGTTTGCTCTGGTGTTCTACAGGGCAGCTCAGGAAGTTACCATGCCAATCACTTCTTTTGTTTTCAGATCATATGATATCCAAAGTATCCAGCTGTCTTAAGTTAACACCATCTGATACTCAATTTCCAAGGAGAAAACCAGTGTGGCTAATCTGGGATTAATCTGGGAATGATTAGTTGTATTATTTACAGGTTGATGAAATCTTCATTGTAATCAGTGACCATGGCAGCTTCCCTATTCAGGAGAAATGGCACAAACAACTACGCTGCTTCTTCTGAAGTAAGACATATGAAACAAAGCCTGTCTGAAGCTTAGTTATCTGGGTGGATTGGTTCTGCAGCTGGAAGTTGGGTTTGGTAGAGATGGTTCAGTGCATCATCTTCAGGAGAAGATGATGAGAGAAGAGGTTGTGCTGCAGCTTCTGATGCAACTCAAGAGATTTCAAGAAATAGACTTGTAGGTTTTCTTCAGGTTTGGGCATCTAACAATGAAAATTTGTCTACTCTGTGCATCAGGATCTGTGAAACGTGTGAGCGAACATCAGCTAAACTTAAACTGGTAGTGCAGATGTTCAAAAAGTGTCTAACTGTAGGACAGTTTATCCTGGATTGTCTTTCAAGAGAAAACAGTGAGAGTGAACAATACTCCCACTGACAAATGGGGAAGATTGCCTCTGAAAATTAGTCCTCTATTAACTCATCATTCTACTGTTTTTATGATTAATCAAATCTAGTTATGATCATTATGTGTAACAGGAAAAAGGATAGTAAAAAATGCATATGGGTTTGATTTGAGGAAATTCTCCTAAAAATTTGTCAAAATTGGAAAAATGGTGTCTGGAAGGCAATTAGTTTGCAGTGAGCACATTGTTTTGCTTCCAGATGCTGGCACAATAGCAGCTGTGTTACTTGGCTTTCCAAGAAAGACAGGATGATCTGGGAAAGAATAATTCACATCAGTATAGAAGCACATCTCTTGAGAATAATGGCTTTTATATGGCAGGCAGTGCTTCCTCCCAGAAATGCTCATGGGGAGGTTGTGGCAGGGCATCCCTCTGTTACACTGCTGTTACTGACACTGGTGAAACACTGATTCATTTACAAACCGTTTGTCTTAAAAGCATGGCAGATGATCACAGCTGAAGTGTGTGTTCTTGAAGGATAAATGGTTGTACCGCTTGAAAGGGACCCCGGCAATGGTTACAGCGGTGCAGCATTTCCATTTCGAGAGGTGTTGTTTAAGGACACCTGCAATTACTTGTTAGACTGGGAAAATCTGAAAGGTTGGTTTCTAAATAGCTGGAAAAATCGCAGCAACCATCAGGCCTGGGCAAAGCATGGTGGTACCAGTGTCCTATGGAGGTGAGGTTGTTGACAGGTGAGTTGCTCTACAGCAGCTGAGTGGAAATGGCTGTCCAGGCATGCTCAGGAGGAGATGCCGACTCCTCTCTGTAATTCACAGGGGGGCAAATGTTATAGGTGAAAACACTCTCAAAAACACTAGCATAGGATGTGTTTAGAGAACCCTTGAGCAAATGGAGGCACCTTGTTAAGAAATCTGATTCCATTGCTGCCAAAGGGGTTTTCTGGATGCCTTGACTGAGGTGAAGTTTAACTAATGATGCAGCAAGAGACAGCAATTAGCTGGGCAGTCTGCAGCTGTCTCAAAATATCAACACTGAAACAAAAGCAGGATTTCTTTAGAGCAAAATGTTGGCAAAATACAGAAAACTGCTGAAAGGAAATACAGTGTTTTCATTGCACAGGAGGCTTCCCGTGGGATACTGGCATCTCGGGGAATAGTTCTCTTCCTCAGACAAACCCACTGGTAGCAGTGGACTGCTTTCTGAAAGTTTATAAGTCATATAATTAGGAACCAAGAAATAGCAGGAATAACAGAGGGATAGAGATTCCATTGAGCCAGTTCTTCATGCTGAGAGTATCACAGACCAAAAGGAACAACATCATCTTCAGAGGAGTCCACAGAATTTGTGTCACTGTTAGAAATGTGCAAAGATCCATTGGACCTGGAAGGCAGAGTCGCGCCAGAGATTGGAATGGGTTTGTGCTGCTAGTTCCTTTGAGCTGTTTTCTTCAGGGCACTTATGAAGAAAGCAGGAATTCTCAGGGATGCCAGGACCTGTGGAGCTGGATTGACGGAAGAATGCAATGAATTCAGTGAATGGAGATAAACATTTTTAGTCCTTATCAAATAATTTTATCAGGGCTCTTCATTTAGAAGACGAAGTGGTCTTCATCTTTAGAATGCTTTACTCTTAGTAGCTCAAAAGATAAATCACATATTTGCTTTGCTGTAGCTGTGAGCAGCAACGCCAGAAGTCTGTTTTTTGTTGTCTTCTAACAAGGTGAACTTATTCTTTGGATCGAACACTGATGTCCCATCCCTTACCATAACTTCTCCTACCACATATTTCTTGATGCAGATGGACTGATATGAAAACAGAATTAACACAGGGTAACCCCAGGAAAGTGTAATGGGGAATTAAACCACAGAACTTCTCAGGAGAGGATTAACACACTCTCCTCAAACCAAGCCATCAAACAAACAACACCCTGCCAGCAGCAAGGTCCCAGCAAAAGTCACTGGAGACTCTTTCTGTTGGGAGCAGAACATGGTCCAGTTTTGTAAGAGATATTTTAAGGAACTAGCCCAGGTATTGTGAGACTAATTTAACTGATCTTGTAGAAAAGATCACAACTACTTAATAAAGACCTGCAGAAGGGTTTTACAAAAAAAAAAATGTTTCTGTTCTAGGCTTCCAGTCTAGAACAAGTGTCACTTTGTGTTGTAATCCCTTTCTTAGGGCTGAGAAAATTGTATTTTTTGAGATTAAGAGTTTATATATTGTCTGAAATGTTTCAAAGGGTTGTATTATTTAACATAGTTGTAAGGTTGGCAATGGCAAGGGCTTGTTTAAAACATACTGCTTTAATAGTTAGGAATACTTTGTTTTGTACAAGGTTTGCTTACCATTAGTGGCTTGTTCTCAGAGGAATCTTTGTGAGTGCCTCTTGGATACTTGTGAAAAAGCTGTATCTCTCTGACAGTTTAAATAAGCCCCGTCGCCATGATCTTTGGCACACTAATGAAGTACTGCTTACACATTGCAAACTTTATTTTTTTCAAAGTATCTATATAAAGCAACCCATAGACATATAAGACAACAGAGTTATATGCTATAGAATTATTGCATTAATATTAATAGATTCGTTGCATTATTTCCCCACAGAAGCACAACCAACATCTCAAACTGGTAATATGAAAGTAAGGGGAACCCATGTCATGAAGTGATTTCAGTGCTGATGAAACAGGGAGACTTGCCTGATACATACTGTATGTGTCTAAATCGGGGCTCCTTGAATGCTTCAGAGCCAGTGACAAATGAACTCTAGTCTGACCTTGTGAGGATCCCAGGTGTGTATCATCCCCTGCCCTGGCCCCTATTTCCCTGCCTATTCTCATCCTTCTTGGGACAGCTGTTGAGTCAGAAAAGTATCACATAGCTGGCAGGAAGATGCACTGTCCAGTTGGCAGAATCACCCACCAGACCTCTGGGCAAACAGGCCCTGTGATCAATAATTTGGCTCTTGCATCCCCTGTTTGCTGGTTTTCCAGCCGTGCTGCTCCAGCAGAGAGCGCTTTTGTTACCTGCTGGCACAGTGCCTGTTGAATCTGCAGCTCTGCTCTACACCACAGACCCAAATTTACTTCTAGTTTACTTTCTAATAATTAATTTGTGTCTCTTGAAACACTACACATCTACTTTGTTTGCTTTCCTGATATCTTGCTCTAGACAAAGGCATTTAAAACAGCTTTTAAACACTGTAAATTTCATATGATTTTTGAATGCTGTGTAGCGTTACCATAATCCTTCCTCTTTAAAAAAATAATTCTTACATTGATCATAATGAAAAAACTTATTTGGCACACAATTTTAGTCAAATAGGTTTGTCTTCAACAAAGCAGTGAAAATCAATATGAAAACAAGGAATGGTTAAATGTCAGGCTAATATTTCAGGCAATTACTGAGTTTCAGACTTTCTAACTTAGTAGAGAAAAGCCCAAGGAAAAGGGTTTTATCAGCTTGAAAAAGTTATAGTTGGTTTAAATTTAAGAATACTCAAGAAAAACCCTTACTTCTGTAAAATAAGAAAGTGAGGAAGAATTGGCTTTGAAAAGTTGCATTTATCTAATTTTACCCTGGACTCCTAACCTTCTTTCATAGAAGGTTACAAAAATAAGGCAGGAATGTGCCTTCCCCAAGGTGACCCAGCCCATTGGCTGCCCCAGGCCAGCTGGGCCCACACCATTCCTGTCAGACCTCTTGGCTTTAAAACAGTGCTGGAGGGGAAGATAGAATGCAACCAGCACCACCAGCCCTTCTGCCAGTGCTGGCAACTTATTGCACTAGTGAAATCAGTATAAATCAGCAAAAACATGCAGTTGAACAAGAGAGCTTATAACTTTTTTCTTCATTTTGTGGAAGCATGTAACCCACTAATGCAGTTGTATCATTTGTAGTTTTGTGTTCATAGAGAGCAAGGACTCTGCTTGTGTGTCAGCATAGGTGTACATGGCTCAGGATGATGTATTCCTGCTCATGTGATTTACCTCAGGTTTTGCCTTGGTTCTTTTGTTTTGACATAGCTGAGGGAAAAAGAAAACAACTTTAATATAATTTAAAAAACCCAAACTAATTCTAAGCTAAATGACAGAATTATAGCAAAAGACATAATTTCTGAGAGCAGTTTGTTTGGTCACAAAACCTGCTCCAGTGCACTGCATCCAAGTTTCCTTGGAGGAGACTTATACTGAGGATTGTGTTGCTGCTGTACTAGGGTAACTCTGGACAGGATTTAACAGTCAGGCCCTGCAGCTCACTCAGAAGTTAAACTAGCCCTTAAAGCCAACTTTTTTCTCATGACTATTCAGAAAGAAATGAAAAGAAACTACCATTATACTTGAGAGAAGCAATGGGAGGCCTTGAGATGGAACTGACCCACTGTATGTGTTTAGGCTTTTAATTAAAAGACCTCATTTAATTTTTCACAAGATTTTGGCAACTTATGAAGCTGAAAGATAATGGTCTTATTCACTTGGAAAATACTTACTGTGATTTGCTTAAAGGGCAAATGTTTCCAGGGGCTGGATACGCCCCATGGTAGGTGGAAGCTTCACTTGATGCTGCTTTGGCTATAGCACAACAGTAGTGCTGGGGGTTACACAATTGTCTTCATTGATTGATCTGAAATGCAGAGTTTAGGAAATAATGTGAAGGGGCTTAAATGAATCAGTTATTTTATATTGGGAATATTTGGTAGACCTTGATTTTTGCTTTTCCTTCTCATGCTGCAAAAGTCTCTTAGATTTTAATAGCATTCTGCAGGAATTAACCTGAAAAAGTATGACATTTAATAATAGCACTAATTCCTGGGCAACTCTACAGGATTTTCAGTCAGAATTGTGTTTATATCCCACATTGTGCATACACACTTGAGTATTAAGAACCAGCAATACCAGTGGTTGGGGAATTTGCTTTCCTGGCACTCGAGAGTAAATAATCCATTTTAGGTGGTCAGTCCATCTTGAGCATTTGTTTGTTTTTCTCAATTATACTGTATATGGCTTTTGTTTGCTAAATGAGTCAGGTTTACTGACTCCCCTGGTTAATGCTATAGGGTTTTTGGGAAGCTGTATGTGATCGGTTCTATTTCTGATATCACGCTGAAGGATTGTCTTTAATCTGTGGCTATGTTTGCGTTCCTAAGTCATTTGGCACAATAGGAGAGTGCCTGTAAGGTGAACTAGTCCATGCTGTGGGCTAGCTCAGCGTTGCTCCCACAGGAGCAATGCCCAGCAGCAGTCCAAGTGCATTAAATGCACTCCTGGAGTGCATCTTCTGGTTTGAGTTTCATCTGAAAGGAATCCAGCTGGTGCACTCTGAAGACCAAAGCAGAGTCTGCCACGCTGATAGGGAGAGTCACTTCAAAAGCCACCTCCTGATCCAAACTGAAATACTTGTACAGGCACACCCTGCCCGAGTGAGGGGCCCTGCATGCACAGCATCCCAGACTCTTCCCCAAAATACATCTTGCTGGGAAAAACACAGTGGGTTCAATGTTTCTGCTCTTGGTAGCACACCAGTATTGCCTTCTAAAGTCAGCTTTTTCCTCACCTTAGACTGTTTTTTTCCTATTAATTGATTCACTGGTTCTTATATTAAGTGCAAAGGGTGGTGGAGAATGAGAGTGAGAGTAAATTGCAGCACTGATAATTTCTTATCGGTTCCCAGACTGGTAACGTTTCTCCTTAGAGACGCTGCAAGATCCATTCCCGCGAGAAACTACACGTGTATGAAGTTCTGCTATGCATGAATCCCACTACAGGCAATGGAAAGTCTGCTGTGTATGAGCTAATTGCACATGTGAATTTACAGTGCTGAGGTCCTTTGTTTCTCAATGGAAGCCTTGCCATGCACCTAACAGCAGAGTAAGGAAATGGATTTGTATTTTTTTACTTCTAGAAAGAATGAATTCCTTTCCCCTCCTATGCTTTCTTCACGGGAAAACTTAACTGAATTTAGCAAGCTTAGAGAAGCATTTTTTCATTTTAATATAGATGTCTTAAAAGATTAATTTCTCCCTGAAGACATTTGAGCAAGGTGGAGAGAGAGATTGATCATTTCCAGATGTTCTTTGCTGACAGGCAAAGAAAAATTCTGCTTCAGGTTAACATTTGTGAATGTGTTTAAAGAATATACATTTTGTATGCAAATTGCCAGGGAGAGCACAAGCCAGTGCTACAGGGGCTGAGATGCCCAGATTTACAGCATCATAGCTGCTTTAATAAGCAGGGTCTTGTCCCTGCTGACTGGCCTAAAAGCCTTGGGAGCGTCTCTTCCTCTATCTCCTGTGGACAGGCAGGGGACTTGGATGTGCTTTTCAGACAGAAACACCAAGGCCATGTGCAGTGTGCTTTGAGGGAGACAGTTGACTCTACAGTACTTGCTGAATCAGACATATTAAACTACATAATTCACTGTTTCTTTGATGTTTTGGGGACAGTTTCTAATAGGGTTCCTTAACATTGCACACTAAGTGCTGGCAAGACTTGGCACACTGAACAAGCAGTTTGGGGTTTCTGGGAAGTACCTCGAGTTAGAGGAGCAGAGGGAGCTGGTGTCTTACATGTTACCTGAGTAGAGAGTCAGTCTGATGGAGCAATTGTGCACTGGCATCCTGCTCACTGTGTGTTGTCCGACTTCCCACAGGGCACAAGCAGCACTCCAGGGTCAGACCTGCAGTCGCTGCTGCTTTTGCCCCTGCACAAGCAATTGATGCTCACTCTCATACTGGCTCTCTTGCCTGGCAGTAGTGTCCAATGACTACAACAGGAGGACTTCTTAATGATGAAAGATGAGCATCAACCAGTTCTGTAGGAGTCCTTGGTGCCTAGGAAGAGCAGATTCTTCTTCAGTTGGTTTTGATCTCTAAGGCAACAGCAGCCACGGCACTGAGCATGGGAAGTAACGGAGCTCATGCCAGTCAGCAGCAAAGGAAATGCCTCCTTGGGAAGCAGTCTTTCCTAACGTCCGTCTGTAACAACTGTTGTCCTTCTCAAATGATGTGTGGAACCAGAAACGCCACTGGAGACCAGGACGCCTTTGTGAGTCACAAGCTGGTTTTCACTGGGTGGGCAGAGGAGGGGGGGGCAGTCAGCAGAACCAGCCCTGCATGTTGCCTCCTTGTGCACACTGAATCCTGGAGGAATGGGTTTCCACCGGAATGAGCAGTAAACCTGTCTATGTTAGAGGTTGCTGACTGCTAAGACTGTTTTAAGTAACTGACAGACAAAAAGACTGATAAACTCATTTTACTATCTAGAGAGGGCTCTACCCCTGGGCATGGCAAAGCTCAAGGCCCTGGGAGCATTACGGGGGAAGCCCTTCCAAGGCCCAAGGAAGAGGTGTGTGAGGACCACAGCGGATGTGAGGTCTAGGATGGTAAAGTCTCACTTCAGGAAGTTAATCTTCTGTGAAGCTGTGCCACGGCACTTGTCCCAAATTCCTGCAGTAAGCTCAGCTGTGACAGAGTAAGTGAGGGTAAGGAAGTGATAAGGGGGAGACAGGAGGTAAAACTAGGGGGTCACCATTCTCTGGAGTTCTTCAGGTAAAGCAGGTAAATACCTAAGGGTCTTCATTAAGCCCATGTGTTGTTTAGAAAGGAAAACAGGTAGAGTGCTGTCTGTCACACATGTGTACAAGGTGCCAGCTCAGAAAGGCTGCAAACTGGTAATGGGACCTCAGCACATAATTTAGCCTGCGATAACTGATGAACTATATGCATGATTAGAATGTGCTGTTTGGGGATACATCTTCCAAAGAGATGCTAAAATTGGCACATTTACAATTTGACCTGATTTTCCTTTGTTGCTGGTTGTAAGGGTAGAAGCCACTAAACAGTTAAAATCTGTTTTGTTGTGTTTGGTTGGGTTTTGTTTTGAGAAGGAGTGGGATAATTTTAGTTCTTCAGACCTAAAAATTAGATCAAAATCCTGGCAACTGTACAAGATAAATGAGCAACCTTGCAATAAAAGGGTTTTTGTCACCTTGGAAACACAGTTTGAAAAAGCCACTTGGAGTAATTTTAGTTTCAGACTTCCCCCTGCCCTTGTCCCTCCCATGCAAATTCTGTTTTTACACTCAGTATATCCGGTTTAGCTGTGTTTCTTTCATATATAGACAACAGGGGAATTTGCCAGACAAAAGTGGAAGAATACTGAAAATGATCTTGCACATGATGTTTCAGAGCAGAAACTGGTGTTTGGAAACATACAAAGTTAAACTCATCCAAAAATAGATTTTTAAAAAATCAGTCATTTTAGATCTCAGAATTCAGTGTAAAAAAAACCCAGAAGCTTAACTTTACATAATTGGTTTTTTACATGCCACTGAGTCTTGTTATTCTGGAGAAGTATATGGCATTTAGGAAACAAATTTTAGCAATAAGAAGGAAGGTTGAGGGGTTAAACAAGGAAAAATATACACTGAGAAATTGATTTAATCTATTAAATATACGTGGTCTTTCAGAATCCCCACCACTGTAATATCTGTGTGAAATTTGTTGTTTTAAAATGCTGTGAGTCTTTGTTGTGGACATTACACAGATTATACTGTGGCATGGCTGGAAACTCGAGTAATTAGAGAAGAGATTAGGATAAAGTAGTGCTTCTACCCACTAAAGAATGTAAATATTTTGAATAGTTTCAATAGCTCCCACTTCTATAACAGATCTCACCTGAAGAGTGGCCTTACTGTGAGTGCCTATTAGAGAAAGCACAGAAGCCTTTGTGGCCTTTCCTGTCTACTTGAAATCAGCTGAGACATATTGACTTTCCACTCCCATGCAGAAAACATTCTGAATTGGAAAGTAAATTGATTTTCAATTTTTTGAAAGACTAAAATGCATTTAAATATATATTTTTTTGTTCAGGTAATATTCCTGGAAGCTCAGAGGAATCCCTGCAGGACTGGCTGATGGTCCCTGTGCCAGAGCCTGGTGTCACCTCTGCCACCAGCTGGGCAGTCTGTTAGGTTGGGCAGGAAGAGATGCCACCAAGGACTATGTGCAATAGTTTGTGCAGCCACAGAAGACTAGCCAATACATCACATGAGGCATGATGAGATAGAATAGCTGACTAATATTTGGGTTAAATATGTGTAAATTCTTCCTGACCACATGACTGGTGAGGCTGTTGGAATAATAGAAGGACCATACCATATAACTTGAGGTATTTAAACCAAGATTGATTTGAATATGAGCAAATGGAGTAATGTGTCATTAAGGGAGCACAGATGAGAATCTATCTTTTCACCTCCATTTTCTTGGGTTCTGTTCTGTCTCCCAGGAGTGACTGAATGTTGTGATGGACATTAATAATTAAAAGAAGCTTGACCACGCCACCTTCACGTCAGCTGCTGTCCTTTTGTCATTCCTTGTTATGACAGAAGTGGGTGAGTGCTAGGAGCAAGCTGTCAGCAGATGGTAGGCAGCAACTCTGGCAAGTTTGCAAATGAGGTACTTTCCCCGCTACAGCCAGCAGGATCAACTATTAATCTTCTTGCTACACTGCTCTTTACAAGTCAAGAAAGCTCATCAGGTCAAAACATGTAGTCCATACTGGCTGTATGGAAAACTTTTTTCTCTGATGAAACACAGTTTTATTGATAGGTGAACTCCAGGACATGGAAAAAACCCTCCATGATTCTTTACCATTAACTTCTCTGATTGCTCCATTTGAAGCACACACAATGGAGAGAAAGAAGAGAATATTTCACATGAAATTCCACAAATCTCTCAGCAACCTGAGTTGATATCCCGTGTTTCTCTGGCTTTTCTTCCCCCCAGTTTATTTGGCTTTGTAACATACAGGATAACTATAATGAAATGATCATGTATGCACACATATTAATTTTTTGAGGTATAAAATTATTTAGCTTATGTGAAAGAGAAAAATAGACTAGGTCCTTTCACCTTGTGAAAGTCATGGCAGATTTTGCCTACAGAAACATCTGTTCCTTAAAATTTAAGATTACAAGAACACATCTTTAAGGCATCCTTGTGATTATCTTAAGTACTTTGAGAACAGCACACACTATATGCAATTCTTAAAAAGGATCAGTCTTCCCATTTAAGGACCTTTCCACTTCTCTTTTTAAACACTGCCTTTCCTGTTACCACACTTGGAAGTCCTCTATACTTGACTCTGACTTGAAACTCAGAATTTTGAGATTGATGATTTAAAAAAAAAAATTGCTATTTTTAATGGTAGAAATGGAAGAAAGGAACTTTAAGAAAGTGGATTCCCCTAAGAAGGTGCTCATCAAATATGTTCCCCCATTCTGGCATTTTGTTGGCTGATAGTAGGTAATTGGAAGTCATTCAGGATATCCTTAGAGTGTTGTAAGTTTTGCAGAATTTTTAATAAATAAATTTTGCATATGCAGCAGGTTTTAGGGCCCTGTGCTTAATGGGATTTTTTGATAGATGTACTTTGCAACAGACCAGAGGTGGACATAGGTGAGAGCTCTGCTTCTTCCTTGTCCTCCTGGGGCAGTCCTGGCCTAAAGATATGGGACAAAATAGACAGAGAAATGCTTATGTAGTGATTTCATTTCCTTTACAGAGAATCTCCTGATGTTTTGAGCAAAAGTTTGAATCTGTTTTTCTTTTGACCAAATATACTACATTATCTGTTGGTGTTTTCTTTTACTTCAACCAAGGTTGAGTGCCACCAATCTGCTGGTTTTGTCTCCATGTTAGAAGAAGTTAATGGTGATGATGGTTGTGATACTGACTATTTTTACTCTATGGGTAATGATTTGGCTTCTTTGTATCCAAAATACTTTGGTATTTTTAGTATATCTTCAGTGAGACTGACATCCTACCATAGCACTGGCTTGCTGTAAGATTGCAGTCAGAGGTGATAATGACAGCCCTGTGGTTCAATTACATGTTTTGAAAAGCTCATAGAGATGTTAGCTTGCATTCTCTAAAAAGTCTAATACTAACCTTAAAAAGTAAGTGTAAGATACTAAAAAGAGCATGAATTACTGTCTTATTTCTGTTTGAACAAAGCACAGAAAGCAGAACCGTGAACACTCCTCCTGCTTTAGTTAGCTGATAGCTATGAACAGAAGAATTTCCATCATGCTGCTCATTTGAATCTGGGTTAGCCTTACATGGCTCTTAAAATCCTTTCCTGTTTAATTTTAATTACAGTTTAACAGGACAGGTAGACCATGTCTCTGGGAGCAATGGGCTCAGTACTTCACATAAAGGCAGGGTAACCATCCTGATGCTACAAGTCACATTTCCAGAGCCCAGATGACCCATGCCACTGGAGTCAGAGAAGAACTGATAGTGGCAGTGGCTTCTCAGAGCACCTGGTGAGAAGGCACCACATTTTGTTGGAGGAGGCCAAGCAAAAGCAATGCAAGTGTAGTGTACCAGGTGTAAGATCTTGACAGCGGTGCCTCTTAAAACAGTTTTGGTTTAAGAAGGTTTCTGGCAAGGATACTCTCTAAAAGGGAGTCAGTGGTCTGAGCCAAACACTTAACTGCTCTTGGAGTCTCTAAAATCTGCTTTTAAAAAGGGCAGTTCCAACTGCATATATTTCCAGTGCCCAGGGAGCAGATGGTGGACCCATTTTGGTAATGAACACCTTCAGCTTTGTCCAGCCTGTTGTCTAGCAGCCTCCTCAGGTTTAAAATATAAATCTTTTATTCTCTCATTGGTTTGTCTTCCTAAGATAAGCAGCTGTATTTTGGGCCCCTGGGGTGCCTCGGCTGGCCAGTTCAAAATAGGGTCTGGGGGTAACAAAGCTGTGGATGACTGTAGTGGTGTCTGCATCTGAGAGAAAGCAGTTGTTTGGCAGGCTGGAGATAAGACACACAGCTATTAGCTGCCTGATAGAGTTTCACGGGACTCTTATTTCAGTCCATTTTGGTGTCAGGAAGGCAGACGCTTTCAATAAAAAGAGTGCTCATAGATTTTATTGGGGCATTCAAATCCTTCCAGTTCCCAGCTGTCATCAGCTCCACTTTAGCCATATAGTTGTCACTTTATCCCTCTGTCTGCGACAGGTCTTGAGAGAAGAAAGATACTGATTTGTTAAGCTTTAATGAAAAGGAGACTCATTCACATTTCCAGACACTTTTAGTTTTACTCACACAAATGAATCCCAGCAAAGTAAAATAAAGTCCATCCCTGGGTACATGATAAATTAATAAGAAACTATTATTCAGATACATCTGAGGAGATCTTGTAGGCTGTGAGGGATGGAATTTTCTGAAGGCAGACCGAAGCAGTTCAAAACCAGTCCCCGAGTGTGTACAGAAATGAAAGCCTGTGTACTTAGGAAAGCACTTCTTCATCCTATCTGCTGAGGCAGAGCTGATTTCTGGTGCTGTCAGCAAGGCTGGAAAGGTTATTTTTCAGTCTTTTATTAGGAAATATTTATCTGCGTAATTTCATTATTCAACTGTATTGGTGCCCAAACATTGCCACCTATCAATCAGCAACTTCACCAGGGATATCCTTCCCATCAATGCATTTTTTTTTCAAACTTAAGTTTGATTTTTTGCTTGTTCAGTTATTTACAGTTCTCACATTATCAACTCAGTAAAAATTAGGTAACTGGTGAAATCTCAATCTGTTAATGAAAAGAAAAATGTTTAAAAACATTTCTCTTTGTACCTTCAGAAGAATACTGCTTTCTCTGTGTTAAAAGTTACACTGTTAAACCGGTCCTAAATATTTGCCAGTCTCCTAATTAGACGCCTCTTCAAGTTGATGCAAACTCTAGTCCCATCCTCTTGAAGCAGCTTTCACTTTCTGTTGAAGGCCAAGTAAGAAGACTCACATTCAGCACTGTGTGCTTTGCAGTTCCTGAACAAAACAGGCTATGCTGAAAACAAAAGCTCAGCTTTGACTCTTACTCCACTGGCTCAAGTTAGTTCCAGCCAGATCCTTAATGTTACTTTATCTGCAGGGTTTTTTTTATGTGATCAATGCCAACTCTGTTGGGCAAATACAGGATGCATAGGGATTTAAAAAAAATCCAGCTGCCAACAAGAAAAAGTGCTTTGTAACCACAGTTTGGAATGGAAACAATTTTCTAAGATACAGATCAAACTGTGTTTATAGACTCAACTATTGGCAGCTTTTCATCAAGCTATTTCCTGTGTGCCTATTGCATAGAGGAATAATCTAAATGCTTAAACTAACATTTAAAACCATACAGAACATGAAGGAAGTACTGTGTGAAGCAGCACGGAAAACACAATGATGTTGAACTTTCTTTTGTTTCCATAGCTAATACTCATGGGAGAAGGCAGTAAGTACTGCACACCAAATGCCAGTACTCCAGATCTTTGCAGGATTTGGTCCTTACTCTGGCCAGTACCTACTTTCTACTAATATTGTTTTAATTGCTAAAAGGAAATATCCAAGTAACAAAAATTTTCAAAAATGCCTCCTAAATTAGAGGAACTTGCTAAAAGTTACATACAGTTACTTTAAGTGAAGCAAGTTATTATTCCTTAGGAAAGTAATTCAGATAATCTAAGGCACGTGTAGACAGAAGGAATCTGTTTTCCCATTAAAATAGGTGGAAAATCTGCAGGTCTGAAGATAAGAATCAGGGTAGTTGTAGACTGGTTTGCTCAGTTTGAAACGGTTGCAACAACTTTCTCTTGCAGAAAATCCCCAGAATTGAGCTGCTAGCTGTTTGAATCTTTTTGGTGTTTTTAAATGGGGCAAATTTCCTCTCCCAGACTTCAAATGCATGTCCTTTGCTTCAGGCATCCAAGTGTTCCTGGCACAGCTAACCCCCTGATAGCATCAGTAAGGTCAGTGCAGTCAAGCTGTGGTGCCTGTGCAGAATTTTAACGGAGTTTTGTTGCTGGTGTTCTGCTCGGCTGGACTCCAGTCCTTCTATCCAAGCCATGTCTCAGCTCCAGTAGAGAAAAACTTGAGAGTTGGGAGAGTAATTTAGGTTGGATGGGACCTCTGGAGACTCTCTGGTCAGCCCCAATAGGGAGTGGGAGCTGCGTAAGTGAGCTTGGCCAGGGCCAGACAAGTTTCCAGTGTCTCCAGGATAGAATTCCCACAGCTTCTGTGGGAAACCTGTTTTGGCATCTGATTATGAGATGCACAACAACAACAAAAAAACCCCATAACATTTTTTTATACTTTTCTTCTTTAACTGTATTCTTACGGATCAGTTCTGGGAGGCATAGTAAAAGGCTTAGCTTTACATACTGATTCCAGCCTGGAAATCAAAGGGGTTTGTTGGGAATGAAAGCTTAACTATCTCAACAGTAAGATCAGGTTAGAGGACGTGACTCTGGACTTTTCCTTTACTTAGGCCCATGGGTAATGAAGAAAATGTAATTGTGAATAATCTGCTGGAGATAAATGTGCACGGATTAATTGTGCACAGCGAGTGTGCTGTCAGAAAAGCGTTGATAGTTTTGGTTTTATGTATTTCTTGCATGCTACTTTACCCGAGATGCAGTTCAAAATCCAGTCCACAGATGCTGCAGTGCAGCTGCCAAAGGGGGCAGGATCTGACCCCCCAGCAGGGACAGAGGCCAGCAGACCTCTTGGGACTCGCAGCTCCTCCTCTGCACAGCAGAGAGTATTGGGATCCTCCCAGCTGCTGCCATCTCATCTGGGATTTTTCCCAACCAAAGGCATTCTGGGATGGTTTTACATCTTGCTCTGAAACTTGTACACAGGTATTTCACAATATGTGTATTTAAAGCAATGCAAATGATTTCAAATGACAGGATAGCCAAATGGCATTTCAAGTTGTTGCACTGTTAACATATGATAACTATTGTGAGATTTATTTTAGATGAAGAGAAGTCATAACTACTCTGTAATGAGTTGTTTTTACAGTGTAGAAATACAGGTATTACTGGGTTACTACTGGTGTCTTACATATAAAGATTCAAAATCTTAATCTAATTTTGTTCTTCAGGAAGACTTAATTTCAGCTGAGCAAGTTATTAAACCCCCTTCAAAATTTGGTAAGAGAGGAAATCTGTGAGTATGCGCGACATTTGTGTGCTGCAGTTGCTTTCTCTAGAACTGAATGAGCACTTTCTTTGGTCCAGTATTTGAGGCAGTGCTGTGCAGTATGCATGGAATGCCTGCCTGCTCCTGGCTACCTTCTGCAGGGAGGTGACAGCCAACCTACAATGGGTAGGAGGTGGCAACAGGTCCTCTGTTCTCACCCACAACAAGACAGATGCATTGCCTATGTTTGTAAGGTACGTCACATAAAAAGCTGCAAAATACAGTCCTGAAGCTGTTTATAATGAAATTAAATGCAGGAGATGTAAAGCCAGGTAGAAGTTAATGAACAAAACTGTCTCAGTACTTTATCTTGGTAAAAAAATCAATGTCATATCATCTCCTAAGTGTGGTTTTGAAGGGCTGTGCGTTTGCTAATGGAACTAATGCAGGATGTGGCTGAGCAGCTCGTACACCAAAACTGAATTTTTGCCCACTTCAGCAGCCTCAGCGCATTATTCGCTCTGTCCTAATGCTGTTTGTCTTCCACCTGTGTGGCATTTTGGCTGGGATAGTAAGGGCTACTAACATCGAGGCCGACTCCATCCCGGTTCGCTGGCATCACTCCGCTGAGGAGCTGCTGCTCTCCACACGTCAGGCCTGAGGGAACCGTGGAAAACCTGCCGGGAAGCGAGAGCTGCCACATGCACGGCCTGAGCCCAGCGGGAAGATATAAGTTTGCAGCCTACAGATTTGTTTCTTCGGGGGC